AGCTGGTCGTAACCCGAAAAATTCGCAAGCAGAGGCGTTCGTATCCCGAGGTACCACTGTAATTGAAGTCAGAATTTGAAGTTGGCCTTTGAATCCAAGGTCCTTTGAGGAGCAAGAAGCCAAGATCCAGATTTAGATGTATCACTAAGCTTCTTATCTTTCTTGTTCTTGGTTTATTTATTTATCTTTGTTGCATGCCCCTAACCATGGCACAAACATGACCTGGTAACCTCTTTTTCTTGCCACGTCCTTATGATGCTGCCTTTGTCTCATCCCCAGCCCTTATCTGAGGCAGCTTAAAGTCATCCTTTGCTATTCCAGTTCTGCAGTGGTGTTTTCCCTCTTCTCCTAGTATCTTTTTTGCTGGCTCAAGGATTACTGGATAGCACTTTAATTCAGCCATCTGGAAGAGCTTATTTTGAATTCTTTTCCTTTTCTGTTTGCTACTCTTACAAAGCTGGTGCTGAAGAGCTTATCTATGCTGGATAGCTTTCCTTTTTTGAACAAATAGATTTGGAGCACTTGGGAGTTGATGATTGAAAGCCATGTTTAACAAATGTAATCAATAAATATTTTCAAATCAGATTGGGAAACATCATGGATGAGCCAGACTGCACCTTCAAGACTGAATTTCTCTGAGAGCAGAATGCAGGGAGTGAATGCCCCGCTGAAAAGTAGCAGCTTTTATCCTGCCTGTAGAAAATGTTAGTCTGCTTCTCCTCGTGCAAAATCAAGAGAGAAAGAATTCTTGTTTATCTAAAAAAGCAGTCCCTTTTCATATGCCCAGGAAGCAAAAAATGATCATAACATACCAGATAAAAGACTAAAATTAAGGTGCATAAGGAGAGGCTTTTGACTAGCCCTGCACAGAATGGATACTGAGGGCTTGCAGGACATAGCAAGGTCAGGAACAAAATTTCTACCACTGATTTAGTTTATTATGAAGAGGCCCACATGGCCAAGTTTTGGTACTAGTCTGCCATTTCCAACCCATTTATAAGAAATGCCAACAATTTTTTTTGTATCATTAAAAATTGCTTGGATGGATAGTAGCTACAAATAATGGAATCTTAGTCTGATGTTGCATTTGGCCCAAGTGAAAGTGGAGACCAAAAATAAGGATCTGGCAATTTTGCTACAAGCTAAATATAACTGCAGTTTTGTTCTTTTGGTGGATTTGGCACTCAATATTGGTCAACGTTTGTTAAAGTCAGAATTAGGGCTTCATATTTACAGTTGTGAAATAGTTTTCATTTCCATTCCAGTTGTAAACCTTCTGAGAACTACTCCACCCCTTTTTTGGATGCAATGTGAATTTGCTTTGAAAGATACTGGATTCCTTTTTATTCATGACTCTTCCTGTGAGAGAGCTTTTGCTGCTTGTTTTCTAAAAAAGGTTCTCTCTGATGCTTTGAGAGTTCCTCCAAGTTTGTTCGTCTGTCTGTCTCCCTCCCTCCCTCCCTTGTTTCAGGCTGCTTCTCCCCTTCCTGCTATGTTGTCATTTAGGATGACTGAATATGTGAAGTTCTGATAATCATAGTTGTTCTGTAACTACAAACAGTTTAAGTTATTTGTTGTTTTCAAACCATTATATCTTTCACATTAACTTTTATCTCATTTCTGTTGAGTACAAAATTTAGGAAATATATTAGCAACCAGTAGGTTGCTAATGTACTTTATTAAGTTCTTGTTCCTACTAACTAGGCACCAAAATATGTGATGTTTATATCAGTTCTAAACATTCCACACACTATAATCACCACTGCTCGAAGAGAAAAAAGGAATTCAAGATTCTGTTACTGAGCTTCTTCAGCCTTTTGTCTCTGTCTCTTTCTCTCTCTCATACACAGGCATGTATATAGGTATAAAAATCATTAAATTTTGTTTCCTAGTAGAGTCCTTTAAATCCTTTAAGCAAAGTCTGCACTAACAGATTTACTTGAATTAATTAAAATATGGTGCATGATTCTTTCTAAGTGCAAAAATATAATTTTCCAGCAACTTCTGCTGGAAACAAGCCAGCTGCGCTTGCACAGTAAGGTATGGCAAGTATGAAACAATGAGGGGATATCATTTTTTAGCATGCAGGGTTCAGGAAGTGCGCAGAAAATTCCTGTTATCACATGAGGGTAGGAAGGGAGTTGCAAATGTACCTTCCACCCTTTGGCTTACGTAAGTGTAGCATAAATCATTTAGGATATAATTTCGCTGTCTTTGAATCTGTGTAACATTGAGGGAATAAAAATATTCTTCTAATTCCTCTTTGATTGCCGAATCTCCCTGTTGAAAGAATAATGTTTCTTGCAGTGAGAAGAATTGTCAAAATGAAACTGAAACACAGTACATACATTTAAAAGCATCCTGGTTATTGCAGAATGAATACATCAATTTATTAAAGTAACATCTTGCATTGACACTTGGTTTGTGATGTCTAAAAGGGAAGCATTTTTTTTTACAAGCTGTAATACATGAGTTGTTAAAGCACTGTACATTTTAAGACTTTTTTATACTGATATATTGAGAAGTCAAATATTGTAGCAAATTGTTACTTATTTATATGGATTCTCTTAAACCATCCCAATAAAATAATTTTAAAATCAATGTGCAAAGAATGAAAATAAAGTCTAAGCTGTTTCCATCTCTTTCCTCTTATGCATATATAATACATCTTTGCTTCTTGATACTATATTCAAGAAGAATGTAATAAAACAGTTTAATCCTAAAATTTCCACTTTTGCAATTTTATGTGTATTTTTCCTTGAATCTTTTAGGCCTCATAGGTAGATGGCACCAAGATAAACACCTGCAGAAAGATGAAATATGTAAATTGCAAAAAACAAAACAGAACAAAACCAAAAAACCAGCAGATCCAAAACCCCAAGGCTGTACTTAAATTAGATTGTGTTGGGTGCAGATTGTCCCACTGATTGCTCTTTAGGATCACTGAAGTAAAATCTTTTGACAGTCCCCCCTAAATATTAGGTTTGCATTACTTCTAAGTATGAATAAACTAAGGATTATAAATAAACATGCATTATATATAAGTATAATGCAGTATCTAAATGCGGTGAAGGAACTGTTAAAGGTGAAAATGTTTTAAAGCAATTTGATATATTTTAAGCATATTTCCCAGTGACAGTAGCATATTTCTCTCCATCAGGGAATTATGTTTTATTTTTTCCTTTCCAAAGTAAAATTCTGTTCCAAATACGGATTGGAATTCCAGCTGGATCAAATGACTATTTTTAAATCAGAAATCAGATGGGCTTCATAAAATGCCAAACTTAATTAGGATAGAGTGTTAGGGAAATGAAATATATTTTACACCATTTTTTTTTCATTGTAGTGTCTTCAAGATTAAATAACATTTATCCCTACCTATAATTTGAGCATTCTTATAAAAAGAAAATTATCTTTTTACAGTAGCACAAAATGCATATAAATATGTTGAAATATATTGGCATAGCCAGAAATTTCTGTAATTCTCAGAACTGTACCTGAAAGGAAAAATGTAAAAGGATGAACCTAACTACAGAAATTATGACAAATCATTATAATAATTTAATTCAGATCGCCTAGAGGTAACTTCATTTGTTCATCCATCAAGTATCCTTATTTGTCTTCCAAAGTCCATAAACCATCTTTAGTTCTGGATAGGGCTGCACTTCCCCAAACAGAGTCAGTGTGCAGCCTGGGGGTCCTCCTGGTCTCATAGCTCCTATTTGAGGAACAAGTGGCAGCCATGGCCAGGGGCCTTTGCACAGCTTCATGTTGGGTACCAGTTGTGCCCTTTCCTGAACCATAAGGCCCTGTGCAAGGTCACTCATGCTTTAGTCATCTCCTGAATGGACTATTGCAATGCACTTTACATGGGGTTGCCTTTAAAGAGCACTTAGAAGCTACAGCTAGTACAGAATGATGTGGGCAGTTATATATACTCCTCAATCAGTGCATGTTAACACCTCTGCTCTGCAAGCAGCATTGGTTGTCAGTTTGCTTCTGGGTTTAGTTCAAGGTGCTGGTTGCAACTTTTAAACACTGCCTGGCATGGAACTGGTTTATTTGAGGGACCGCCTCTCGCCGATTATGTCTGTCTGTCCCATTAGGTCCAGCAGAAGAGGCATCCTCCATGTTCCATCTGCTAAGGAATGCTACCTGGTGAGGCTGAGGAAAAGCCTTATCTTTTGTGGCACTCACCCTTTGGAATATGATTCCCCCAGAGATTAGATTGGCCCTCTCCCTCTTGGCTTTTCGTAAAGCCTTAAAGAAGGGAGCCTGGGGATCAGGAAGTAGGGTTTTCTTCTAATTTTCTTTCAACACTGTTAGCTGCAAGGCCATAAATGAAGGGTTATTCTACTTTGTTCTCACTAGTCATCTGAGGTACAGTACTTAAGAATGAAACAAACATGTTTTTTAGATCTTAATACATAGTAAAATAGATATTCAAGGAGAACAAGAGGAATGGGCTATGGCAGCAGGCTCCTCCCCAGATCCATTTTTATTAGGATGTATATAGTTTAGTATTATTTGCTTTCTACTTTCACATAAAATTAATAGACATATTTTCCTTAAGGAAATAGCAATAATACCGTATATACTCACTTACGAGCCCATCTGTGGATAAGCCAACCCTTGAATTTTTAACCAAAATACCATGAAAAATGAGCCATCCGCGAGTAAGTAAATCCTTGAAATTTTTGTATGTTTTAATTTTCAAAATTGGCTTATCTGTGGGTGATGTATTTTTCATGTTATTTTGGTTAAAAATTCAAGGGTCTGCTTACTTGCAGATAAGTCCATCCACGGATAAACCAAACCCAATTGTTTGTATGTACTTTGGCACTTAAAATTCTCATCTTATCCGTGAGTATATACAGTTGTCAGATTCCATGGCCATTTGGCTAGATAAAAGGCTTCAGACTATAATGACATTTTTTAAACATTGCAGACTTGTTAAAAATTTCCTTGGATAGCATCATTAGAAATCAGCTCTTTTGATACGTTTTTCTGTCTTGTCAATGCACACTTGTGAGTGTCTAGCAACTATTTTGCAGCCCTCAGAGGGCTTGTAACATAGAAGAACTACTCTAGGGAAATTGCACAGAGGGAGAGAGACAGAGACAGATGATAAAGGGAAGTTTGAAAAGATAGCTTTACTAGACCCCACTTTATGCTCAAAATATAGAATATTTCTGAGATATCATTTGACCCTCATTGAGTCATGGAACATAGCATCATTTGGATTTGCCCCATCCTCTTATAAACTTTAGACTAGAGTACAGATCATGTGTTATACATGATGCTGCTCTTGAAGATTTCTCTCAAACTTCATTAGCTTGAAGGAGATACATTTCACTGACTCTTAAACCAGTAGCCAATATGGTTGTTTTTCTGAACCCATTTCAAAGTGGTAGTGCTTACGTTTGAAAAATCTAAATGACTTAATATCAAGCTATCCAAAGGATGGTCTTCTTTCATAGGAGCCCATCCAAACATTAGATTAATAATTTAAAGGGGAAAAGAAAAATCCAAGTGCCCCCTTGCTGAGCAGAGATGGTACTTAAGATTATCCAGCACTGGATGAATTCCAGCTTTGTATGTAGAAAGTCCCAGTTTGAATCCCTGTCATCTCCAAGAAGGCTAGAAACATCCTCCTCCTGATAGCCTGGATTGCAATTGCCAATCAATGCCAACAATAGAGGCCAGGAAGGACACATCTTCTTACATGGTAGCTTTTTATGTTCCCATATTTGTGCTTATTTTGCTTGATATTAGTTCATAAAACTTTAATGTTTTATTAATTGAAGGGTAGCTCTTAAACATTGTAATATATTGACGTATTCTTCAGTTCTTCTGAAGAAAAGGTATAAAACAACTCTTCATGAGATTTAGAGCTATGGTCATCATGGCTAAATTAAAAGAGACATTGGAAGGAACATTTATTAAGTTTTATACAAATCTAAAATTAAATTCCTGTTTTTCAGGCTTGGCTATTTCTGTACAGTATACAGTTTATGTTATCTCCTATTTGTCATGTAGGCTGAGATCCCAAATATGTTCCCTTCCCTGTGTGGTATGATTGCCCCACTGACCCAAAATGGTGAAGAATTTATTCTTTTCTATGTTTGACAATAACATCCTTTTAACATTCTTTCTGAGAACCAAATACAGAACTGTTTTATGCTATACATATTTTTAAATCAATGTCTATATTTATTTTTTTCCTTAGGAATGCATGTGTGGATCCAAACGCCACCCACATGCTTTTTTCATGCTCAGCATATATGCACTTTCACAGTCTCTCCCACAGAACAGAATGAAAGGAAAAGAAAAACCAGGCCTTGCTGAATACTTGAAGCTGCTTTCCGCCCCTCAGGAATTGCTCAAACATTTGTTCCTCTCTTTTTTTAAAAAAAACATGTTTAAAATTACATCCAGCCTTACTAACAGTAAGATTGTTGAGCTGATCCCTCAAACCAAAGTCATGATGTAAAAAGAATATAGAAATATCATAACTTCTAGACCTCCCCAGATCATAAAGATTACACTTTTTTTTCTAGAAGGATAGATGTTTTATGCAGGAAATCACTAATTTTTGCAACCTTGTTTTTAAAAATGTGATGATGGACTTTACTGTTCAAGGGCAGGAACTAAAATAATTGGGCACTGCAGCCAGAGGATAGAAATATTTTCTTCATATTTGCCATCCTAAATAAAATAAATTACTTATTTTGAAAATAATATACAGTTCTACTCCTGAGTAATGTAGTAAACCAAAATTACCCTAAAGAAGGCTGATGTTTCATAGCATGTGAGTAATAACTCCATAGTTATTCATAAAATATTTTGCATTGTTTGTGAAATAATATGCAGAATCAGCCTAAAAAAAGTAATTTATATTTATATTAAGTTGGATAGCATTTTATGTATTTTCCTCTATCTTCCAGTATCTAAGATGTTAGTAAAACAATAAAATCACATTATACAATTAATAGAACGTTTCCTAGTTCATTTTAAGTTAATGACAAGGCTTAATGATAAGTGTTAAAAAGTACTATTATCCAATAATATTGTGGAATGAAAAGTCACATGTTTTGCACCAAATAATCTTGATTTTCAAGCAAAGGGAAGCATTAAGTAATAATTACATCTTAAAAGTTTGAATACCAAGCGTTAAAACGCTTCAACTGTTGCATATGTGTGTTTTGAAAACTTGCATCTTGTATTTTAAAATAAATTATTCGCACTATGTATATGGGAGTAGAAGTTTACTCATTCTGTATATCAGGGTTCCTCAACCTTGGCAACTTTAAGATGGGTGGACTTCAACTCCCAGAATTCCGCTGGCTGGCTTGGGGATTCTGGAAGTTGAAGTCCACCCGTCTTAAAGTTGCCAAGGTTGAGGAACCCTGATATACAGAATGAGTAAACTTCTACTCCCATATACACAGTGCGAATAATTTATTTTAAAATAAATTATTCGCACTGTGTATATGGGAGTAGAAGTTTACTCATTCTGTATATCAGGGTTCCTCAACCTTGGCAACTTTAAGATGGGTGGACTTCAACTCCCAGAATTCCGCTGGCTGGCTTGGGAATTCTGGAAGTTGAAGTCCACCCGTCTTAAAGTTGCCAAGGTTGAGGAACACTGCTGTATATTGTTGGCTTATATGTCCATATCTTGCCCGATTTGATCTTGGTGGCCTTTTAAATTCTTGCCTTTGACATGTTATACATACTTCCATGACTGCCCAGTTATGATACAGGATTGGCTATTGTTTTCTCTGTTCCCACGGTTTTTTAAAAAAATTATCTACACATGATTAAGGAAGGATGCAGGAAGGGTATGGTTACTGAGTGATTACCAAGTGCTTCAGGGTATATGGAAATTCAGGATTCAGAGAGCAATATGGCAAATAAGAGTTTATCAGTTTCTTCTGGAATCATAGCTGATGGAAATAGAACATGAGATCATGTCTTTGCTTTTTTAAGCATTTTGTTATACTGCACAGTATACAGTATGAAATTAGACAGTAACAAAAATGAAATCTGGGTTCTCCTGAATTCTGGCCAAATATTGCAAAACTTCCAATATTTAATTTTAGAATTAAAATTTGCACAATTTAACTCAGCTTAAATTTCATTTTTATTATGTTTCACTTGTGTTACTGATGTGCATATATGCTTTGAAGAAACACAAAAAACCATGGTATCAGTATAATAATCAAGAATATTGCAATATGTGTTTTGCTGGTTTGGGCACATAACCATAAACAAACAAACAAACAAACAAATATCTCAAATCCGGTATTACTAGCTTCTCCAATGTGGATGGCATTTGGCATAATACAATAGTGAAAAAAATGTCAGTATATATTTTAAAATTTTATTTTGCTCATTCCATGTTTTACCAGCATCTACCATCTGTATTTATTTTCTGAACTCTCCTTATAGACTACTTTTATGTGCTTTGTTCTAAGAGTAATGATCAATTTCCTGAATTTATAGGTTGCAATAAAATCCATCCGTAAGGACAAAATTAAGGATGAGCAAGATATGGTTCACATCAGACGGGAGATTGAGATTATGTCATCTCTCAGCCATCCTCATATCATCACTATATATGAAGGTTAGTGACTGGTATTATTTCATCATTTATACCATTTAAGTTTCCCATTCCCTTTAACAGCAGTTTAAATACCAGCAGATTTTTCTACAGTAAGTATTTTTCCAATATATCTATTTGGATGACATGGGTAAAGCATGTCCATGGAAGGAGTGTCAAGGTATTTATCACGGAGGCACTTCATTAAAATGTACTTGCCTTTGGAGCCTAGTTTTTCAAGGAGCCTCAGCTAAGAAACTACAACCAAATCTAGACATCACCTTGTGTACTGCTATGTTAGAGTAGCATGTGACAGCAATTATATAAGCAGGTAAGCCTGGTCCTCCTTTCTAGTACCTAGAGCTTTGACTTTCAACTAGGCATAGCATATGACCGTTTCCTCCACATTCAAGCTTGAAGAGAAAGGATTCATCTCCATTTCAGTCAGTGTATCAAAGCCATGTAACAGCCATGTCACCACCATAGAAATCATATGGAATCCAATCTTCCATCCATTGTTTTTCTCAGGTAGTTCAGTGATAAGTGTATAATCACTTCTACACTCTCCGTAAGTGTAGGAAAATCAGTAGTACTGTGACTTTGCTTCATGCCAAATGAACTTGGATGGTTCTCAGAACTGAGAATCTGTGAAGTAGAGAATTTCTGCAGACATAGGAAATATAAATGAAGGCCATAGATGAGGAAAGATTTTATTTAAAATTCTTTTAATCTGAGTCCAATTTGGATCAAGCTTTCAGCTGTTATGACAATAGTATAAACATTATCATCCAGAGTAGCTGGTTGGAGCAAACCCATATGGGCCTTTTAAATTGATCTTGGTTCTGCAGGCTTCTATTTAGCAGATGAGATTTAGAAAGTAGTCTCTTAAAATAGTATATATTAATTTTCTCCAGATGCTTTGCTAAGTCATTTTGTTTTCAGATCTCCCTAGTACTGTCCATTACTTCAGATAGAGAGCTTATTAAAATGTGTTCTTTTGGCAAGCAATTTTTTCCTAAGCTGCTGTCTATGTTATTCACACTTGTGCTCTTATAAGGAACTATAAACAAACATAAAACATTTTTTCAAGTCCAACCTTGACAACCCCACCTAATTTGTTTCCAGTTTATTTAATCTAATCCAGTAGTTCCAACTTGTGGCTTGGGCAAAGATACTGTAGGTGGTATATTTGTAACCAGCACATTCCTGATTAGATAACTCTCATGGGAATACAAAACTCTCATTAGTTTTGTCACTCTTGCAAGATTTCAGTCATTTAATTATTTATATTTTTTATTATTTAATTTTGACATCTGCTGATGTCATTTAAGCAAGCCACATACGCCATGAGGCCTACATTGGCAACACTTGGTTTACTCAGTGGTCTTAAAAGCTTTGATGATGATGTGGTCCATATAAAGGAAAGTCATAAAGAGCTGTTCTCCCAGGCCTTGGGCTATGGTGGTTGGAGCCCCCTCTGCTGAATGTTAGATGTCAGTGTGATGTTTTGGAGTATCTGTAAGGTTCACCATTTTCTTGTTTTTTCTTTTTCTTCTGTTCTAATTTGGGTTTTGTTGCTTGTTGTTTCTTATTATAGAGTTTGGTGTATTATGAGCCACCCAGAGTTGTTTGGAGTTGGGTGGCACCAATTATAATGCTCATCTGATTCCTTAGCTGCAAAGGCAGATATTGATTGTAATTATGTATCCTACCTTTGTATCCCACATTTATTCACAGACATTAAAGCAGTTATGGATAGAGACATGATCATGACTCACTTAGATTGAAGAGTAGTTTTGAGCTTTTGATTTATATTGAGCTGGTATGTTTAAACTGATTTGTGAAGTAAGATGGTTAGAGGGTATTGTAGCCAAAATAGCATGCTTGATGCTCAAAGTTTAGTCTGCCAGGCTTCCCAGAGAACCAGAATATTAATAGTACAAGAGGTCACATACTGGTTACAAGTTGTTGGAAACCATGGTTCATGGCCTTACTCTTCCAGTACAGCACCTTAATTTCAGTTTGTCAGTATAAGCAAATGCTGTGATTCATTGCAAAGACAAAATGGCATCTTTGAATGTAAAATAGAAATATGACATATCTTTTAGCTTGGTTCCACACTGGGGAAAATCTTTTAACCTTCTCGTTCATCCAGGGTGGCACAAGGAGGAGAAAATTAGCATGTCTTGGAAGTGCTTCTTTTTGTCTCATTCTCATTGATAAACTGTGGGAAGGAATTATATTATAATTTGCAATTAGGACTGCTTGTCCCAGCACCGGGACAGATCATCTTTCATTTTAGGTGTGCAGGAACAGATAATGTTGTCTTCAGACTGCCCTTAGCCCTTAGGAAGGCAACCTCCACCTGAGTTTTTGTCAGCCTTTTAAGGTAGACCAGATCAGGAAACAGACATCACATGAACTATTGGAGCTCTACTTTATTGTTATAGGATATAATACAAAATCTTGAAGGCCTGATAAGGATTCTCTCTCTCTTCCTTTACTAAAGAGAATCAAGATAGGGCAATCTTGATTTTTTTCCTTACCCTTCCTTTCTGTTTGGCTAAGCTGATATTTACGTAATGGTTGTTGATTTTTTCTTCGAGGCCACCTCTGTCCTCCTCTGAAGTTTTCTTGTTCATTTTCCTTCCTCTGCTGGCACAAGTAGGGCAATCTGGTCCACTGGCTGTGCTTCATTCTGTCTTATGCAGATGCCTCTGTTCCAATTGGCCGATGTGTGCAGTGGTGCCCCCCAGTGCCCAAGTCCCTGCTCTCTGCCTTCAATGGCCATTTGGCACTGGGTTGCTGAGCTGCCTGCCATGGAAGGCTCGACTCTTTCTTTTTCTTTGTTTGTCATTTGTTTTTAAACAGGTTCATCAGAGGACCACTCTTCCTTTCCTTTACTGGATGACCAAAAAATAATTTTTTAACAGGTTCAGCAGAGAAATGTTGAAATGCTGACCATTGCTTTGTTGTCGTTTTAACTGGGTGAAACTGGCAAGAGTTCTGCCAAGTTTCTCTTTCTGGTCCAAGTGACAGGAAGAACTGTAAAACTTGGTGGGTTTTTTACACCAGTCCTACGAAGACACACCCAGAGAAGGGAAAGCATTTGGCACTTGCTTTCCTGGGTGGAAGGAGAGAAGTAACAGGGGAATCCACCATTTGGGGGCTGTGTTAACCATAGTCTGGGAAGAAGGCCTGGCCACCACTACAGCCGAAGTGGAAGAAGGGGCTGAATCCAGAAAAGTCTGTCTTAAGCCAATTTCATTTGCAGCCAGTTTACACACAGGGGACAAGCAGTGTAGAAAACCCCAAAAAGTTCTTTTGAATTTCTCCTTAATCCAATATGGCGTTAGGAAGAGAAAGCTGGCATATTTTGGAGCCTCCATAGAAGTGTTTTCTTTTTGTCTTTTCCCCATTGAAAATTTTGGGAAGGAATTATATTTTAGAGCTTTAGTTGCTGACCTATCAATTGAATCAGTTAAAATTCATAGCCTTAATGGAAACCCCATTCCAATTGCTTGGAGTCATATTACAGGATCACATATTGAAGTATTCAAAAGGATTTTTGTTTGTTTGTTTGAAGAGATGAATATCTGGCTTTTTTTATTAAGTAAAACTTTAACAGGCCCTGGAAAGAAAGAAAGGGAGGGTTGCTGTGTCAGCCTAACAATAACAAATGGAGCAAATATTCTGTATATAGGGAGGGTTTCCAAAATTCTGTTTAATGCAAACCTGTATCTTGTTTAATGCTATTCATTAAAATAATTACATTACATAATGGCCCTTTCCAAGGCAGAATCAGGCAAACCTGAACCTATATTTCAAAAGTCTGTCTGTAGACTGAAAGATAAGTGAAAACAAAGAAACATTTGTAAAAAAGTCCATCCATAACATTTACAGTATAATGTAGCAGTATACTGCTTACACAGTGAATGTGTCTTACAGTAGCATTACATTTTGAAAATAATCTTCATCAATTCTAATGTTTAATTCTCATCTTGGGTCCTCTTCTTTAAACAAGAAATTAAACTCAGAAAATCAAAAGTTGTAAGAGGAAATATTGTCATATACAGTATATAATTGAATGGTTATTGTAAACTGCTTCAATATTTTCGATAATGAGATGGTATAGAAATAATTTAATAAATAAAAATGAATGGAATGAAATAATAAATAATTAAACGCATTACCCTTTTTCTTCTTCTGTAACGCACTATTTTCTTTAAATATATCAATGATGAATAAAGATGGGTGAGAGGAAGAAAGTAGAAAAAGTGAGGGAGAATGATGGAGAGGAAAAACTAACATCTGGTATAACCCCCCCCCCCCCATAATAAAACCTATACTGGAGTTGAAAGTTGGTTCTGAATCTGGAAAAACTGAAGACTACTGGTTAATGGATGCATTGAGTCTTTTTAGTATGAGCTGGAAGGTCTTTTATAATATCAGGATTCCAAACATGTGCTTCCTTTAAACAGAATCCATGTTTTTGCATCTTTTAACCTTGGTTGGTTAAAGGTGATTCATTTCTGCATTTATCAACTCAGCATCAAGACAAACTAGCCATTTTCACTTGTAGCCAAATCCGTTGTTGTTTAGTCGTTAAGTCGTGTCTGACTCTTCGTGACCCCATGAACCATATTGCGCCAGGCCTTCCTGTCCTTCACTGCCTCCCTGAGTTTGGTCAGTTTCATGCTCATTGCTTCAGTGATGCTATCTAACCATCTCATCCTCTGCCGTCCTCTTCTCCTTTTGCCTTCAATCTTTCCCAGCATCAGGGTCTTCTCCAAAGAGATCTCTCTTCGCATTAGGTGGCCAAAATATCTGAGCTTGAGCTTCATTATCGATCCTTCCAATGAGCAATCAGGGTTGATTTCCTTTAAGATTGACTGGTTTGACCTCCTAGCAGTCCAGGGAACTCTTAAGAGTCTTCTCCAGCACCACAGTTCAGGCTTGCCATAGCTTTCCTCCCAAGGAGCAAGCGTCTTTTAATTTCATGGCTGCAGTCTCCGTCTGCGGTG